TTTAATTGAGTTGAAACAGAAGTAATGAGGATGACTGTGGGATTGGCTGGCTTTTATTAGTGGTTTTCAAAGCCTCAAAAACAACAACAAACCCTCAGATCAGCCACCTTTCTTTTTAAAAAATATTTTATTTATTATTATTTAAAAAATATTTTTATTTATTATTTTTATTTTATGTGTATGAGTGTATTGCCTGCATGTATGTGAGTGCACCTGTGTCATGCAATGCCTCAGAGGTCAGAAGAGGGCTTCGGATTCCCCTGGAACTGGAGTGAAAGACAATCTGTAGCCGCCATGTGGGTGCTGGGCCATCTCTCCAGCCATTATTATTATTATTAATTTATTTTTTTAACAGAGCATACGGCAGGGGGTGATTTAAAGAGCGGGTGCCCCATATTTTTGCTGCGTTGTAAAGTCCACACTCAAATACAGATCCTGTGACCTCCTGACAGCCCCACAAAATGGTGAGAGAGGTGCCTCTTGGTGTTCTTGGCATATGTATTCTTTGACCTGCCCCCCACATGCAACTAAGGTCCACTGATTGGGTGGGAGGGGTAACTGACTCCTCCCTGGGCTCCTTGGTGAGTGTGGGAAGGAAGTGTTACTATACCTGCATAGTGGTTGGAGAACACTTCCAGTTAACAGTCTCCTCTCCTTCCTCCAGCTCTTACATTCTTTCCGCCAACCTGTTCCAAAAAAGTTCCTGAGCCTTGGAGGGGGTGGTAGGTGTGGGTAGAACAGCCACCTTTCAATTGAAGACTCTTTAGGACTATAGGAGAGCCTTCCTGCAAGGGGGAGGGAGCTGCTCTCTTGCAATATGGGGCAGCTAAGGATGGAAACCGGCCCAGCGGTCCTAACCTGGTGATGTTGGTTTTCTCTCTCTCTTCAGCTATGCCTAAACAACTGCTTAACCTGTTCAAGAAAAACTGCTTCTCACACTACTCCTGATACCAAATGTGAGTGTTTCCACACCAGCGAACACTCCACACACCAGTGGGGGAAGGAAGGGCTATGATTCAGTTCTGATTCTGACCACTGAGAGCACAGACCCCACAGGCTAGGGGTTCAGTCTCACAGCCTTGCTCCCTAGTTCAGAACCAGAGGCAAGTCCAGCCCTCCCACATTTCTGACTGCAGCATCCATAAATATGCTCCAAAGCCTCATTGGAATTCAGGGATGCCCTCTCCGTACATCTACAACTTACTAGAGAGAGAGGAACAAATAGGGAGTCAAACAAGGAGGAGCACAGGGTTAGGTCTGGGAGGGCTCCCATCCCTGGACAATGATGGGTGCGTCTCCTTCCTGCCCACGAGTATGTTCACCAACCCAGAAGTTTTCTAAACCCCTTCAGATAGGGTTTTTATAGAGATCCCGTTACATAGCCTGGATTGATAAATCTTTGGCATAGCTCAGTGCCCAGCCCCTGAGCCTCCCTGAGCCTGAGGCCCATCATGGGGCTTGGAAGTCCCAACCCTTCACTCACAGATTGCCGCTCTAGCAACCACCCCCATCTTGAGGTTACCTAGAGGTCTCCAGCCAGACACCTCATCCATGCAAGCTCAGGCACCACTGAAAGGGGCAGTTGTGAAAAACACGACTCTCTGTTGGCTCCACTTAGAAATCCCCAAGGGATTTTGTGTCCAAAACCAGCTGAATCTCAAATGTAAATTTCTTCCAAATTGTGTTACTTTTCAGTTGCTGTAATAAAATGTCATGACCAAAGCAACTTAGAGAAGGAAGAGTTTGGGGCCAGAGAAACAGCTCAGCAGTTAAGAGCACTTGCTGCTCTTGCAGAGGACCTGGGTTTAGTTCCCAGCACCCACATGGCAGCTGACAATCATCTAACTCTAGTTCCAGAAGATCTGACACTCTTTCCTGGCCTCAACCCGCATTGCATGCATGTGCTGCACTTACATATATGTAGGCAAAACACTCATACAAATAAAATAAAAATAGATAAAAAATTTTTTTTCTTAAAAAAAGGAAGCATTTATTTGGGCTTACAGTTCCAGAAGGCTAGGAGTCCATCACAGTGAGGCACGGTGGCGCACAGGCACGGCAGCAGAAGTGGACAGCTGAGCACTGACACTCTCAACTACTTGCAAGGGAGCAAAACTGGAAGGGGACAAGGCTCTAAACTCTCGAAGTCCCCCTCCAGTGAGGATCTTCCTCCAGCAAGTCCACACCTCCTAAAGGTTCCATGACTTCCCTCAAACAGCGCCACCAACTGGGGAACTGAGTGTTCAAATACTTGGAGCCTATGGGGGACATTCTCATTCAAAGTGCCGCACAAATGTCTATACTACATGTTCGTTACAGTAGTGTTGCAGGAACTCTCTCCCTGGGGAGACATGAGCAAACCCCTACCCCCCCCTCATAGAGCACCAATGGAAAAACAGCATGAGTCCACTCAAGTCCAACCTGAGGAACCAGTGAGTTCACTGGGGTTACTTACAGAGGGCAGGTGACGGGGTGACTTACAGGAGTGTGGCGTCAAAAAGTCTCACCCAAGCATGCATGACAAATTCCCCAAAGCGGCATAAATAAAGCTCCCCACCCCCACCCCATCAACCTTCTACCACTACATACTCTAGCATAGCCCAAGACCACAAGGCCATGTGCAATTAGGGCAGAGTTACATCCGGCTGGGAGGTGCAAGAGGGGATGGTTGGAATCTCACTGGGGAGGGTTCAATGACCCTCTGTACCCCTTGTTCTATAAGAGAGCATCAACAGTTAAAAAATGCAATCCTGAGGGTCTCTTGCAAGTACTCTCTGCTGTCTTGATGAAGATGATGGCTGTTGTTATACTCAGAAGATAGTCCTATACAGTAAATCATCCCTGGGAGCTCTGGGGGATTGGTACCAGGAACCTCTCCAGATGCTGGTGGTCTTTGCACATATAGTATAATTTTTGCACAGACTAACCCTCAGATATACTTCAAAGCATCTAGGTAATCTGAGACCTAATACAACGTAAATCCTATGCAGCTACGTGGTACACTGTGTTTTTTAGCAAATAATTACAACAATAAAAATTCTACATGGGCCCAGTGGGTAAAGGCACTTGTCTCCAAGGCTGACGACTTGAGTTCAAACCCCAGAGCCCACATGGTGGAAAGAAAGAACTGATTCCCACAAGTTGTCTTTTGACCTCCACACAAAAATTAAAGTCTACTCATGTTCAGTAGAAATGCATTTGGTTTTCTTTTGTTTTGAGACAGTCTTCCTGTAGCCTCAACTGGCCTGGAACTGGATACATAGACCAGGTTGGCCTTGATCTCACAGAGATCCACCTGCCTCTGCCTCCTGAGTGTTGGGATTAAAGGCATGTGCCACCACATCCAGCAAGATAAAATTTTTTAAAAATATTAATTTTATTTCATGTGTATGAGTATATTGCCTTCATGCATGCAAATGCACTTGTGTAATGCAATGCTCATGGAGGTCAGAAGAGGGAATCAGCTTTCTCTGGAACTGGAGTTACTGGTGGTTGTTAGCGACCATGTGGGTGCTGGGAATTGAACTTGGGTCCTCTGCAAGAGCAGCCAGTGTTCTTAACAGCTGAGTCAACTCTCTAGCCCCGAGATTATTTTTTTTTTAAGGATTTAAAAAAAAATTATGGGTATGAGTGTATATGTGCTTGTGAATGCAGGTGCCATGGAGGCCAGAAGAGGGTGTCAGATCCCCTGGATCTGGAGTTACGAGCTGCGCAGTAACGTGTGGTGGGAACTAAACGCTGGTCCTCTGCGAAAGCAGATGTTGTTGGCTGCTGAGCTGTCTCCTCAGCCCCAAGATGCAATTTTTGATCCAGAGTTGGTTGAATGTGGGGATGTGGGGATCTGTAGGTACTGAGGGCTGACTGCATATTAAACAACAAACCTTGCATGAGGAGAAACTCCTGAAGGGCCCACATGGCTCAGGAGGTTTTCTAACCATCCTCCCAGTAAGGTCCTTCAACTCAATCTTCAGCACACCCTCTCCCTGACTGCCCCCTAGCTCCAGCCCAGTCCTGAGGCACCTGGCCGCCGCTGGCTGTCCACAGCTGCCACAGCTTTCTGCCAGCTATCCCCTTATTGGCCTACAACTCACCATGGGTTATGGGTTGGGGGAGCTATGGGCCCTCAAGGAAGGGTCATAGGATGGACTTTCTGTTGTCTACAGAAGATGGGTTTGTGGAGAAGCAGGTCACAAGCTCAAGGATCTGTTGCAGCTCTGCAGGACCATGGGGACAGCCTGGGAATGTAGCTGTCAATACCTGGGGACCAGTGGTAAGTCCTACTAATACTGCTGTCTTAGAAAATGTGCTTTGTGCCTCCCAAACTTTAGCTTCCAGACCCCTCCTAGGCAAGGGTCCCCAGGGCATTTAAGCCCTGAATACATACTTCTTATTAAGTCCCCAGCATCTATTTATTATTATATCATGATATATCTGCCAATGAACACATTGAAATAGGAAATTATATTTTATTTTCTATGATTTTCTTATCCTTTTTTTTTTTTTTTCACATGTAGCAAAAGTTACTATCAAACTCCACTCACAGGCCAGAGTGGAGTGTTAGCGAAAACCTGCCCCCCGTGTGGCACACTACCTACATTTTTTTGGTCTTTTTGAGACAGGGTCTCCCTGTAGCCCCAGCTGGCCTGGAACTGCCTACGTAGACCAGGCTGGCATTGAACACAG